AGTTCGATTAAAATAGTAATTACATAATTTAATACATTTACAATGTTGCGATGGTCAAGAACTTTGGTGTTTTGTGTTATTTATGTCGACTTGCAATTTGATTCGTCGAGTTGTCATATTAGGGCATAAAGCATGAGCATTGGCGGTGTAGGAGCCGGGTCGAGTCGTAAGCGAAGACACCGGCGAAGCGGAATTAGAATGAAGTGCGCGGCTGTGCGCGGCGCGGCGCGGCGGTGGCGGCCGTGTGCCACGTCATTGCCGTGACCCACTGACATAGATCCGCGGGGCCGCCTGCACCGATATCTGCACGCGCCGCGCCGCCACCCGCCGCCCGCCTCGCTCTTCCTCTACTACAACATACCTCTTTAGCTTTATTTACCTCAACCTCTTATTTTTTTCATACACATTCAGCATCAAATACACTATAGTTATGAGTAATTTTAATCATTATCCTGCTAACGTGAATTCTTTGAAAATGTTATGAGTATGAACTGTTACACTGTCGCCTAGTATGACCTAGTTTATATTTTGTTTGGTATATCTTAGAAATACATGTAATTGTGTGTGTTGTTAGTTACAATGTGTGCCGATTATTCAGCTAAATTTGTCCAAGTTCGATTCCCAGCTGAAGTATTTTGTAATTTATTCATTTGTATTTGAATTAATTAAATTCATGGTCGGCGGACTACATTGATAATTTACTTGGATCGTAAATGGTCGAAAATATTATAAGTATTTTGTTAGCAATATCTACCCCAGTATAATTAAAAGTCGCGAGAGCTTATCACACCAACGTATTGTAAAATAAAAATTACTAACTGTTACGCAATGAATGACCTTGTTATCTAAATTGTGCACTTGACACAAATACTGCTCCATTTCACTTTCATGTCTACAAATGTATCTACCTATCTACAGCGTTGTGCATGATAAAATATCATTATTTAACTACCTACATACTTATCTTTATAATTTAGGTATGTAGTCTTATTCTGTGTCAAGATAATTTGTAATTTCTATTTTATTTTATTAAAAAGTCTGATGAATAAAAATGGATTGTTGTAGCTATTAAAGACACTCCAATAATAAATCTTTATTGGTTATTAGATGATAAATCGATGGTAACATTGTAAATAGTTTTGTTTGTCTGATATATTATTTATCTTAATTTCAATAATATTCTCCGGTATGTTATCGGCATTGCTCGTCGATGGCACTTTGACGTCTCGAGCTCGACGATCGACGAGTGAGATCGAGAGACATTCAGCAAGATGGAAGCGACGCGGGTGCGACTGCGGCAGCGATACGGTTCAGCCAGTCGGTCTGCTGCCCGCGCCCCGCTCTCCCCCGCGCCCTCCCCCGCCCGCGCCCGTCCGCGCCGCCGTGTTGATAATTTGTGAAGTAGTGAACGACAAGGATGTATGTATACGGATGTCTCGTCTTTCAGTTGACTTTCATCGTCGTTTTGTAGCGAACGTTTCGCACGGATTTTGATAGAAAATTGCATTATTTTATTAGCTGCGTAATAAAGACGGTGCACGTTTTGTCGCTGTAATAACTAGTTAAAAACGTTTAAATCCACTTCGTACCTTCGGACATATAATAAATTTGGCGTGCGGTTCGGAAATCTGTTAACAAATTAGCGTCGCGGCAAGCGTGGCGCAATGCAGTGTGTGTTTGGGTGCGGATACAGACAGTGTTGTTTAAAGTTTATTCGGGGAGACGTTAATCTCGACAGCGGTTGTAGTGAGTGGTCCTGGATCATCCTGTAGCGATGCTGCCCATGGTGCAAGCGGAACCCGTGCTTTTCAATTCCGCTGGCAATTCCGTCGATGGGGCCCCTCCGCCCGCTACACTGCCACCTTCCCTTAATTCGGACTCCGATGTCGAAGAACTAGTTGATATATTCTTTGACATTGATGTTGCTGTGAGTACCTTCCAAAGGTAATTATCATTGATTATAATAAACTTTGCTTATTAGATGTAGAATCTTTACAGCGTATAATAATTTATTGACATTGAACTCTATACGGGAAATGATAGTTAATTGTTAGTTTCACACATTAATTACGTAGGTCTATTTCTGTTTTTGAACAATACACGTTCCCTTGTACAAATTCCAATACATTATTTTGTAACGAAACTAATTTTTTATTTCGTTTGTATGAGGCGTGATTCACATATAGAAATTATTGAATGTTATCTTTTATTTGCTTAAATTATTTCTATATTTTTAAGTTTTGTATTGAGTTATAATTTGGTTGTGCTGATTAACCTTTTAGAACATTATACTCTTAAAAGTCGGTAGGGTAACCATGATATGTTATGAAGATAACAATCAAATGGTTTATGTTTTTCACCCGTAATTCAGTGAGGTAGTTCTTATTAGACACAATACTTTAAGACTAAACGGATTTTCCTAACACTCATTAATTGTATGTGAAAAATGTCCCCCCCACCCAGTAAAGGGGTGTTAGAATTTTGCAAAATAGTATTTGTAAAAATTTGATGTTGAAAATATGTATCGCTTTAGACTGAATAATATAATATGTTAATACTTATACATTTATTTCCATAAAATGTAGATACGTGAAATTGGACTTGATTGTTTTTCTTGCATTACCAATTTTATTGTGTGGCAACAAGCTGAAAGTGTGTAGTTTTTATAAATGAAAAAAAGTTGCCAATTTAGCTTTGGCACAATTACGTCGTTCCATTATGACGCTCACACCGGCGCAGCACATTGGTGGTATCCCGCTTGCTTGCTCGCCCAAACGGCAGATATTCACCAGTTATACAAGTTTTTACCATACGTGTTCCATCCTCGTTGCGAATCAAATTTGTTACGTGTGGGTATATTCGGCTATACCAAATCCGTACCAAGCTTGCTATACGTGATCTCATGTATTGCACGTTTAAATTGTTAATTGTCTCTGTATCGGTTACAACATGCCACACACATATAAACTAATTTCCAATAAGACTTTTTTTTAATTGACCAAATAACAATATTTAAATTATAAACAATAGATAAAAGATGTTAATTTCAATTAAAACTTGTTCATATTCATGTGCATTAATATTTAGCGGTACGTATATTGTAATTGTCACCAAGAATTACATGACTCACAGTAAACTTTGAAACCATTTAACGAGAATTGAAAAACCTTGATAGTTTTGCAGTTTCATTTATTAGTAAAAATTATCCGTATTAGTGTAACCTAGCAGGTAAATGTCACGCGTAGAAGCAAATTAAGTTAACTTAGGTCAGAGTTCAAAATAAAACTTTTAATGATATTTGTTACGAATGGTTATGAATTTCGGGATTTACTAACATGGGTAAAATTATTTTGTTATGATTGCACAATATGTGTTATAAATATATGTGATTATTGTGCGGTTAACCTTGCACCTGATAGTTTGGATACAGCATGCTTTGATTTTTGCAGTGCGCCGCGCCGACTCCGGGCGCGGTGCAGGAAGTTGCTTTCCTATATCGCGATCATGCCGCTTCCAAATTGTTCGTCGATGACGTGCGTTTTATCTTAATTTAATAAAGTCCCGATGTAACTCTCCGTGTCATCTTTATGCTTTACTGTTAATGATAGCTTTCTAAAGTTGTAAAAGTTTAATTCACTATTAAATAATGTATTCAATATGTTACTGCTACCCGTTATAATATGTGGTCGCGAGACCTCAATATATTATACCTTGTCTTTTCTGACTGTAAAATATACTTAACGCCTGTACACTAGACGGCATCTACATACTACTTTCCACCTTTTCGCTCACCATGAATAATAAATACCTCGCGTTTGAATTCAAGCTTTCAATTTCCGTATTAGCACAAAAACCTTACAAAAAAGAACCATTACGACGCGTTTAACCTTCGCAGTGAAGTAGAATTAGGGTGAGGTACGGGCGCGATGGCAGCGCTCGACCGGCCGCGTCTCGTATGACGAATACCCTGTTAAGTAACATTTGAAAAAGCGAAATCTTCGATCGCGTAACGCTTTCAATACTTATCAACTTTCACCAAATTTGTTTTCACTGGCCGCGGCTGAAAGACATTTGCCGTTTAATGCGTTAGTTAAATATTTCATGTTTCGAGTTTTTCACCTTTAGCTTTTACTTAAGGATAACTTTACCGATTGTGTATATAATAACAATGATCGTCATAAAATTTCAACTATAATATAGCTTTCAATGTAAGCAGGGCCTAGTTAAAGGACCCCAAAATTTGGCGAATATTTATTACAGTGGTCACGCTTATGGAGCGTTGTTATTCCGAACATTATTATTTCAAGGTTGCGCGGCCGGCCGTCGCAGTGAGGTTGCGTCGTGGGGCTCCTCGGTAGGCGTCGCTTAACTGGTATCTCCGTCCCTCTTGCACATTAGCCTACAACCTATACTGCACTTGGCATTCGATATGTGTATCCTCGACTTGAACATATAACTCTATACTCTTCGATATGATTTACATTATGATTGTGTATATATGTAATTGCTTGTTTTGATAACGTTCGAGTTTATAGTAAATCATCACACGAACAAAAACCTACATACACCGGCGAGCTTACACGTCAAATTTGTTTAACAGTAAACATGACTCACACGGTAACAACATTAATTTGCACAATAATAAGTCATAGAACAATTGTGTACGTACATATCTATTTGTTAGTGAATTTGATTCGTTTAAACTTTTTAAGGACCATGCCTAAGCTTTAGTAATTGATTGCGGTGAAAATATTAAATTAAAAAATCACCATGTAAATGACGTTGGTTATTTCTGCGTTATCTTATACTTTCACATACAAAATGCAAACGTTTGTTGATAATGATGGAAGTGATGAAGCAGATGAGGAATATTGGCGGTGACAATATAAATCCTTGCATTTCATCTCGCTTTGTTTACCGTTCGGCCATTAATGTTTCATCCATCATCATGTTACGACGAGCGATTTAATTAAAACGATATTTGTTTGCTGGTTCTGTAGAATTGAATCCTGTGAACTCCAACCGGGAGACACATGGAGGGGGATGCAAGGCAAGATGAGCGTGACAACGCCGGTTAAGAAGATAAGAAAAAAGTCAGACAATAAGCCACAATCGCAAATGTACGTATTATGCGTTCTGAGATGTTCTTTTATAAATGTTAGGAATAACTTCATTTTTATCACATTGTAACAACGTGATACATTATTTACAGTTACATAAAGTAGGGTTGGGTATTTGTTGACAAATATGGGTTATAAATTTAGTGAATAATAATTTAATTACTTGTTTTACCCTATGAAATCAAATTCCTACTTTATTATATACATATTTGTTTTATTTAAAACTATTGGTCTTTTGGTTCGATAAACAAACTATATATCGACAAACGGAAAAAGCTCGCTGATCTTAATTAAGTTTCAGCTTAATATATACTTAATATCTTATGGGCCTGAAATACTATTTTGTTTTTTATTCTAACAAACAGTAACAAAGCGAATATCCCTCCGTCGTATTTTTTATTCTGCGTGAATACGTTTCCTACACTTAATCGTATCTAACTCGACTATCGATGAATGTATTACTTGTTAAAATAAGGCCGTGACTTTATACTTGTACGTCGTGTTTTTTTTTTAAATAATCTAATTTTATTTTGAACTGTTCTAACTAGTATGCTGCGAGCGATCAGTCCGCGACCCACCGGTTTTATGTTCCTAAAGTTCTATAGCGATAAAAAAAATACCGCCGCGTTTTTCGGATATCGAGTTACATTACATCCTGGCAGTATCGCACGTCTCGACAACCATCGCTTAGGATAGGTCAATGCTAAACCGTCCTATTGCAGACTCATAATCCTTATATTATTTTCAGAAACAATGATAAAACTTTAAAGTGCACATTTAATTATTTCGGAGGAAACAGATGAAAAAATATTTTATTTATGGTATAAGGAAGTATGAATTTACTTACCTATATTAGGTATTGTTTGCCTCTATCGGTAAGACTCTAGAGCACTAAGTTTAATTTAAAAATTATATCATTGTTAAAAGCTCTTTCATCATCAAATAACTTGAACTATCTATAACTATAACATATCAAGTTTTTTTACCGAAGCTAAGGCTAGATGTTAACTGCTTATATGCTTTTTTAAATTGCCCTAAGATACAGATTTATTTCATAAAATGCTACGTTTGAAACCAATTCGTGAAACACGCAAATACACGCAAGTGCGTGTATTCAAATTTAATTACGTTCTTATTCTTGATTTTTTTTATTGTAACATTACTTTTCATAGAAATTCTCCAACATATTTAGCGACCTTCAAAACATGTTTTTATATTACTTCTAAACAAATTGTATTATACGTGCCTATACCATTATTAAAGTGTGTAGACAGCTCAGTTTCCATTAACAATAAAATTGTGGAATTTAGGCGTTGAGCGCTTTAAAATGTGGGACCTTAAAGAATCCTTTTCAAGTCGTATAAATTGTGCTCGCATTTTCTGTATTAGGATATAGATCTTCATGAGGGAGGACTTTTTGGAATACACGATTAAGAAGACTTAAACCCATGCTAATTTTACTGAACGTTGTTAAATATTTATTTTGTTGACCTGGGTAAAGTATTTAAATTTTGACTTTTTAGTAAAACCTATGAATAAATCGGTAAGTTGCTCTGTTTTCTGAACACTTTTCTTGAGGCTTTTGGTTTTGGATATCGGTCACCTGAAACGGTCATTAGCCCTTTCTAAACGAGGAGTTGACCACGTCGTCAGTTTTTTTTACGAAGGAGGCATACACATTATTTGTCTAGAATTTTGTACTGTTGTCCCAAAATTTTCTGGCGTTTTGTAAATATTCATATCTTTAACACGTTTTCATCTTATTTCGAGAAACGATTCTGACACGAGACGATGAGACGTTTCCCCTTTTTTTTAATTCGTATTTATCGTAATAAGTCGACGCATTTACTTCAATTAGCAGGATGATGTTACTTATGAGCGATGTTCGTGAAAGTAATCATGTATGTCACGCGATGAATCAGCTCCGATCTTGATTCTCTTTTGGCTCTGTTGGATTGTCACACAATACTTCAAGCCTAAATCAAATGAATTCGATACTTGCATAATTGTAGAGGCACGACGCCACTAATTTGTTTTGTCTTCTTCAATTAGGTACATAACGGGTCGAATATCTCGAATTAACAACTGATTAGTGCAATAGTACAGAAAATGATTGGATCTTTGGCCGCTTTTAATTAAATTGCATTTATTTTTTTAATGACATTATTGTATCGTTTGTTATAATGCATGTAAGTATTTGTAAACAATTGGACGCACTCGCTTAGCCTGTAACAGACTAGCTGATGCCCATGACTTTATCCGCATAGTTGTAAATACCTGGAAGCTGTCGGTTTTTAGTCTGCAACCATTTTTTACCGACACAGCGCGCTAATAAATCATTTGTAGTACTATTTTTAAATACTTTAAGAAAAATTTTACAATCCAATCAGTTTAAAAAGAAATATTGCATCAGCTTATCACTGTCAATTGTATAAATCTCTTGGAAAAGATGCAATGATCTTTTCTTTCATAAGTCCCTGTTATCGTGCACTTGTTATAATTGGTGCGACTTTTAGTTTCGTATCGAATGATAAATAAAGATTAGATAGTTCGAAAAAGTAACTAAGTAATAAACTACTCATTACACAGATATAAAACTTTAAACTACCGTGGATTCTACAAACATATTGTTCGTATTGTGCCGAAATGTCGGGAGCTCAAACATCCTAATCATGGTAAGAAACCCGTATCTTACCAACATCATTACGCTGAGCTGGCTGGTTGTAGTTTTTTTATTGGATCTGTTTTAGCGTAAAGACGTGTTGGTGTTATCTAGAGCGTGGTTAGTCTGTCAAGGTGTTTGTCATTCAATAGTGTGATTATTCTGTTGATATATGTGTTATAGTTGGTGAATATCATTTATTATTTTAAAATATATCGATATTTTGATGGTTAGGCATAATCAATTTATTGTAGGACTAAACTAGTGAATGCTGATGTGCAATGCGGCGAGATTTTACAATTTTCCCAGGAAAATTAAAAACGGTCGGCATTCTATCGTTTCGGCGGCATCGCATAGCAGTCGAGAGCGTGTCTTACGCATCGATTATCGGTGCGAAGTGCACGCGCTGTTGCATAATGTGCTGTTAACATTATGCATACTTAGCTGAGAAATTACGCTTATTAAGTTTAAGAACGTTTTAGTTATTGCAGTCACATGCAATTTCTCTATTCTTCGGTAAATTATGTCATCACTAATTTATGCATTTCGTTGTCTCATTTGGTTACATAATTTAAAAAAAAACTTTATCGTATTAAATGAAATGTATTATACGACTATTGTTTCTCAAAGGTTAATTATTAAGGTTATTTATTCATCAAAGAGTAAACCTTAATTTCTAAGAAATCTAAAGAAAAAGGACAAACAAGGAAGCGACTCACCTAATTAAGGTTGATAATTGAAGTTCTGTAGGTGTAAAGGGATAAATCTTATTTATTTATTCCGCCTGTCCCTTTCATGGTTATCATAAAACCTGATAGGTGACCGGGACTTGGCCATTTAACAATTACGTCATTTCTACGGCTTTTTTTTCTCCGAAGATTATTCAAAGCTAATTTTAAGTATTAAACTTGGTCCTGCTGTATTCTGTTTGTTTTCACGTCGGTAAAATTCAGAAAAATCATGAAATAGGCTTTAAATATTGTTATGTAACATTTATCTTTTACATTCGTATTGAATACTTGGGTATATATTTTTATTTTTTGAATATTATTAGCATTTTGTCAGAAATTATCAGCGATAAAAATTATATGTAGATTTCAGACGCGGTGAGTGATTAGTCATTGTGATGTGCTTGAGCAAGTTTGTGACAATATAAAAAAAATTGTCCTCTCCATTTTCCTTATCTAATCTACGGCGATGTTGCTTAACGTTTTGTAACCCTACGACGGTTTCTACACCGCTTCAATCCAATTTACAATCTGTGCTACTGTTGTTGTTCACTAACACTTTTCATATCGCCTTGATATTGTTGCAATGACGATACAAATATCACTTTTTTCTTACAATACTTTCCTTCACTTCTTGAGTCCTCTGTGAATATACTAAGATAGGTATGTATATGTATATAAATATTTTTTTTAGAATGTCATTTGTTTATTACTTTAATCTGAAGTAACAGAAATATTATGCCGCTAAACATTTTCTAGTTACACTCATCTTCAAAGTAACCGTTATCGTAATCTACTGATAATTCAGTCCTCGCTACTAGTGTTGAGACTACATATCTCGATCCGGGTTACAAATAAGATCCATAATGTATGTATTATATTTATTGCCGATCAGAAAATTGACAGCCGATGTTTTTTTCAGCAATAAGTGTCACAACGAAAAAAGGCGGCGGGAGTTGGAGAACGAGACCATAAACCAGCTCGAGGAGCTTCTTGGGACCTGCTTGGCGGAATTGAAGCAGCCTGACAAGAACGGCATCGTACGCGAGGCGACGCGCGAGATCCAGGCGATCTTGAGGCGCAGGCGCGACTGTCCTGGCGAGTGCCCGGTGCGCCGCGCCGCGCTCCGCTCGCCCGTGCAGGCCGGCGAGGTCAGCTCCACACAGCCGCAGCCGGCACTCGGCCCACTCGCCCTGCCCGGCACCCCCGCCCCCGCCCCCGCTGGCTTCTACTACAACGGTTTCAACAATCTCATCGAGGTATTCATACTTCTCTATTGTCACAACAAAAATACTATTTGTTGGCTCTTGCATTATGTCTACATATAAATTTTCATTGTTTGTTTACAGGCTCTGAAACATTACACTAGCAGCCTGGGCTGGGTCTTATTAGAAATTAATACTAATGGGGAAATCAAATGCGTGTCAGAAAATATAAAAGATCTTATTCATGTCGACAGAACTGAACTGTACAAAAAGTCGATCTTTTCACTTCTCCACGAAAGCGATCATACGAAGTTGAAACCTTTACTGAGGAATTCACAGGCGTTGGTTTGGGATTCGGGAAATATCGATAAATTTCAAGCCACACAAGTTCGCCTTATCAAAAGTACAAATGCTAACGACGTTACTGGGTACGTACTGATGTCCATTTACCGCACTTTTGCACTCACTTGTGAAATGTAACAAGTTGTACTTACTACACATACACATCTTTAGCTAAGAATAAGCTAGTTTTTTTGTATACTACTAAACTTCATTATATTTTTATCGTAGAATAGAAAGTAAAGCTTAGTCTACCCGCAGCCTATATAAGTTAGGACACCCAGTAATAGAATTATGTGACTATGTGCTTTGCCTTAACTAATAGTAATATACGTTGGTTCAGGCGTCTAAAAGCTGATTCATTTCAACTATTAGTATTATAATGACTTGCATAAGAAGCGCGGATCAACACGGTTGAATCACCAAGTATATGTATGAATATGGAGGCATGAAAGTGCGAGGTTTATTTACGTAAAGTGCAAAGCACAGATGAAATGGAAAATAAATGTATTACAAGGGTAATGCAACAGTATGGAATTCCTTGTTTTAAGATTTCAATATGTTAAGGATGAATAATGTCAAGGAATCAGTGTTGGAATGTGTGAATATGTGGAAAAGAAAGTATATATAAACGGAGGTTGTAATTGCAGCAGGCTGGTGGACGCTGTGATCCACGCTGCGCCGGTACGCGGCTCGTGCCCGGAGGAGGCCGGCTCCGTCATGTGCGTCATCCGGCGCTGCGAGGACGCGTCGGCCGCACTTCTCCCAGTCGACGGCGGCCCGCCCGCCATCACTAACAAACTACCGGAGAACATCATCTTCCGACTAGACTGCAAATATACTATTTTATGTAAGTTCCGTCCTCTCCTCTCATTATGTTAGCCAAATTAAGAGACGATGTTTAATACTTTGACATCTGTTCTTTATTTTTCAGCTTGCGATTTAAGTGGAGTGGAAAATTTTATAAACTATCCCCTCTCTCTTGTGGGTGCTTGTTATTTGGAACTAGTCGATAGCAGTGATCGTATTCGCGTAGCCGCGCATTTACAAGAGGCTCTGTGCGGTCCCGGGCCGCCGGCAGTGAGTGCGCCCTTTCGGTTACGGGTTGCTGCGGATAAACCTTCCTTCAGAGTCAGTGCTCTATCGCGCCTTTTTAAGGCTAAGCCGCCTTCGGTGGAAACTGACTTTATAATGTCCACGCACACTGTGCTCGGAGACGAAGAAGTCGACCTTTTAGACGTCGCCGGTTCCAGACCGCCCGTCGGCGGTCCGCTGATGTCCGTTGCCAACGGTGAGTCGTCCGGCTGCGAGACGCGGTATCGCTCCTCTATGAGCCCCTCGGATGGACAGTTTTCTATCAACGATTTCGATCTCGAATCTTGGACCCCTGGTTTTCAAATAGGAGAAATGTCGTGCGAAGATACAAAGGATAGAAAAGAGTTGGTCGGGGAAGGATCAAGCACACCGCCTGCCCTACGTGCACCGCCGCAGTCCAACGAGGGATCGCAGTCCTCCGTACCCGGGGAGGAGCATAATCGTTTGCGCAGCTTGCTCAGTAAAAAAACCGGCGTATCTGAGTCTGTAAACTCGAACAATCGCATTTTAAAAGATCTGCTCAACCAAGAAGACGAGGAAGCGACGAGCAGCGAGACGTCGGCGCCGCACACGCCGCACACCCCTCACACGCCACACACGCCGCACACGCCGCTCACGCCGCACGCGTCGGGCACGGCGCTGTCCCCGCTGCACACCGCGCAGGCGCATGCGCGCCCCATGGCGCCGCACGGGCCGCTCACGCCGCACACGCCGCACACGCCGCAGACACCACATGCGGCCCACGCCTCGCACTCCACACACGCCGCGCACGCGCCGCACGCACAGCATGCGCAGCACGTGCAGCACGCGCAGCATGTACAGCATCAACCCTCGCCACACAACATTCAGCAACCTCATCATAACAACTCGGAAGTTTTGCTCAGGGTATGTTCATTTTATTTCATTATTTTATACTTTGTGTTCATCTAATGAAATTATTATACTTGTAGGGTCACATAATTAATTTTTAGTTCTTTACTTTATCTTTATAGAATAAATGTTACGGTGGACAATTAAAACGATTTTCTAAATCATTGAATCTTTTTTAGATACTAAAAGAAAAATCCGACGAAGATAATGAGGAAAATCGAAGAAACGCGTCAGATAGCACTCGTGGAACTTCACAACCGTGCGCATTGCTCTCTCAGTTACTTTCGCCCAGCAACGGGCCCTCCGGCAATGGCCGCGCCCAGGACACCAGTGATAACTACCTCGAAAGAATCGGAATGAAGCGAAAGTATGAGGAGAGTAAGACGCCCACTAACGTCAAGAGAGCTACGCCTGACAACCAACAGGTAATGCTCGTCTTACTATTTTCATATATTGACAAATCAAAGCAGACTTGTTTGACACGAATAATTTATTGTGACGCAGGTGACATCGAGCGCGGTGCCGGTGGCGTCGTCGGCGGCGTCGTCGACGGCCGCGAGCCCCGCCACCAGCAGCAGCACCTCGCAGCGGCCGCTCCGGCAGAAGAACCAGATCCTAGTGGCGCTGCTGGAACAGGCCACGCCCTTCCCCACCCCCAACCTGCGCGGCTACGAGCCCGTGCCGCGCCCGCGCCTGCCGCACATACCGCACCTGCCGCACCTGCCGCAGCACCAGCACCATCATTCCACATTGACTAATATGATAACTCCCCAGTAAGAATGCGTTTTCAATGTTATGAATATCAACAGTGTCATTGTATATCTGCGATTCAAAAGTGCCCATTTCTATAGAATAACTGAATTCTTCATTCTTCCACTGAAGTCATCATGTGGGGTATTGTCTATTATAAAAGTTTATTAAAAGTAAAATATTAAAGTGTTTATTTTTTTTATATTCTCAAACAATGATATTTTATAACAAATTATAAACCGTTTTCTGTAAGGTGTCGGTAGGACAATTCTAGTTTTTATCATTGTAACGTTTGCTTTTCAGTAGTCGAGCGAGTAACGTGAACGGCGGCAGTGTCGGCACGGTGACGACGAGCGTGGGCAGCGTGGGCAGCGTGGGAGTGTCGGGCAACGTGGGCAGCGCGACGTGCACCACGGCCAGCATGAGCGTGCCCAGCCACCTGCAGATGGTGCTGCAGAGCTCGCGCGCCGGCTACCCGCACTCGCCCAGCGCCGCGCACTACGCCACCGCCGCGCCGCACCACGCCTACAACACTCAGCCCTCGTACGTTTCTTACCTTACCAATATACAAACAAATATCACATAAATTAACATGATAGAAAGAGACAAAATATTAAAGAAATGAAGATTGATTAAATCCATATACAATGAATGTAGGTTGACTGATAACTACTGATAAAATATAAATGATTGTATATATTAAGATTTTCAACATAAAAGGGTTGCATCGATTTCCTTTGCGGACCACCGTTAAAGTGGTTTTTACTTTAGCAAAAGTATCAAAATGTTTCAAGGAATATGTTACTTAAAAGATTTTGCTTCATATTTAAGTCGGTCAAACATCACTGGATATGACCTCGCCAAACAGATCAACCTTACGATTACAAGTGTATTGTATAATAGATAGAGACGACAAAAACTGATTGTTTCTTTTTTTCTTTTCAAATTTAGCAAGAAATAATACAAGCGAAACATCTAATGATCGCTTAACAAAATTTTGCATTATATATTTACGATCATGAAATTTATTAATTAAAGTAGAGCTATAAATTATTATTTCCAAATGGAAATTGGTAATTGGTTACGAGTGTTATCAATTGAAACAATTTTTAGAAACGACAACTCGCGAAGCCAAGCGAGTTCCGGGGGTGGGGCTGGGGGTGGCGGCGGCGACACGGACGCGCCCAGTGACCTGATGCTGTCGTACATCTTGGACGAGGTGATAGAGAACATGCCGTACGCCGAGCGGCCCGCGCCCGACGTCAACGTCCTCTTGAACATGGAGAACAGACAGCTCAGATCAGAGTTCGCTGTAAGATATTCTCAATTTTAAAAAAAACCTGTAAAGACATAAATATTGTAGATCAATGGTATGTAATGAAATTTTGTTATCAGGGTGTGAAAGAAAAGAATGCGGTGATCAACGCAATAACCCAAAGTCTGATGCAGTACGAGGCGGTTTCCAAAATCTCCGTGTCTTCCAGCCCTGGAGCACCTCCGGTGTACTCGGTGCAAAGCCCGGTACGTTTCTTATATTAGTATCATAGGAAATAAAATAGATTAACCTTTTTTTAACTATGTTGTGGAATTAATAATAATATGTGTTGTGTCAGATGTCATGCAACATGGGCGGCGGCGGCGGTGGCGGCAGCAGTGGCGGTAGCGTCAACAGCGGCATGTACGGCATGGGGCGCGGCGAGGAGTCGCGCGCGCTGGTGGAGCAGCACCGCGTGCGGCTGCTGCACCAGCAGCGCTCGCAGCAGATGCTCGTCTCCCCGGAGGTAACATACACAAGCAAAGTGCACAGACACCCAACTTTAGTCCCTTTTCCTTCCTGACATTCTTATAAGAAAAGATGGGAAGGGATTGTGGACTTGACGCTGGAAAAGACGCATAAGAAGGGGAAATGTCCTCTTTATGTGCGTTTCCTCCTCCGTCTATTAAGGGTAGGCAACGCATCCGTTATTGCGAATATCTATGGGCAGCGGTCACTTCGCCAATTTTAGCGGATTCAGGTGGCCGCTTGCTCGTTTGCCAATTTATGATATAAAAAAAAAGAAACCACAGAGAGACAAGGCCCTCCTCCTTGGTATAGGTTATATTAAATCTACATAAAGGGAGTTCAGTTAAATGACTGAATGTAGCATTGGGAGTAGTTTTAATTTTGCTTTTCAATTAAAATAAAAAAGGAATCTGCGTCTTACATGTAACTCATGTAACTCTCAATTTTAATTTAAGTGGTATTCAGATAATTTAAAAATGCGTGTGACGTGCCCGTGGCAGGCGACGGAGCAGTCGCAGGCGGACCTGGGCTCCACCATCAACGCGCTCGTGTCCAACGCCACGCCGCCCAACGTCGCGCTCACTCGCACCGACTACCATCATGTATATCATCAAAGTATGTATGCTTTGTAACAAACATTCATTACGATATTCATATATTTTGAATCTTATTAAAACCATTTAAATAGACCGATTATTACATCTTTGCCCTTTTGGCGGATGTTTTATAAACAGCCTCTAGATTTTAGTGTGTAGGGTGTCGTTTGATTTAAATTTTCTGTGAATTGTCACGGAACTAAAATTAGACGGACATATTGTTAAACATTATTGATGAACTTCCTCTTTTCAGATCAAATGGGTTCAAATTACGGTACAAATAAAATACCAACGTCCCAACAAAATCCAATGCTTAGCCGGCAGCTGGGTGTAAGTTTTTGCATTATAAACATTATTTTGAAAACAATTGAAATAACATTTTGGCTTATGTAATCATATCTTGCAATAACATTAAAATCGGTGGTCAATATATATTGGTAAATTTATTTAGTAGAAGACTTACATACTTAGCGGAAGATATTGTAGGATTGTATTTTATTATATTTATTTCAAATAATAAAAATCTATATAGCATTAGTCTGAAATGTGTTACACAGTGATATGTGCTAATACAGCGATATCAACCTACGCTAGCTTACATATAAATCTATAAATAACCACTGTGGTTCCTGGCTGAGTCTCACCTATCCATCTATCCTAGGCCGCAGTTAGGGCTGTCGCGCACTCGGCACAGTAGGGGCGCAGCGCATTCCCG